CAGCCGCCGGAGGGTGCCGCTCATTGGGGGGGCCAGACTGGGCCGCGCCTCCACCCCCCACAGCTTACCTACTGGCTGCTTCAGGCTTCCCGCGAATCAAATGTTCGCGGGAAGCAGGGGAGGGGGCGGAGTTGGGGCGGGGACTTTGGGGAAGGGGTGGAGTTGGGGCGGGGGCGGGGCTGGGGCCCCGTGGAGTGTCCTCTTTTTGGACACTCAAAATATGGTAACCCTAGTGGCTGTTCAATATGTACGAAGCCTGCAGCTGTGTTTATCCTGTTCTCACTACTGCTTCAGTCCTTGCTCCAAGCCCTGCTCTAGCTCAATTCTGGTTTCTGACTCCTGACTCAGACTCTTGGCTGACTTTGACTCCAGCTTACCCTTTAGCTTAGATGTGATTGCTGGCTCCTGGCTCTGACCATGACGTTGGTTTACCCTTTGGCTTCTGACTCCAGTTCTGACTTTTGGCTTGGCCCTCAACCGTGACTCCAATGTCACCTTTGGGCTGGAGCCTGAACCCTAGATCTTTGCCTGCCATTACCCAAACTACCACCATAACCACCAGGCTAGGTTCTGCTCCACTTGCAAGGTAAGCTGCCTATACCCTGGCAGATTACAGTAGGTGACCACAGCCCTCCAGGAACTAACAACAGTCGGGGCTGATTAGGCAGATCCAGTCAATTTGTAACACTTCTACAGAGGTACCACCACCGAGAGAAACTCACAGAGTGGTTCAAACTGGATTCTCCCGAGACCAACAAAGAGAGGATTTTAGGATAAATCTTGAATTTAAACTGACACAGACCCTTCTTTCTGATCCAGCAAACACACAGGACCCACTGTCCAAAGAGGTGCGCCACTCCTTAGGGACAAGTTTGAAGGACTGGCCACCTACCAGAGCCTTTGTTGGAGTGGTCTTCGGTAAGCTTATTAGCATCCATGAAGGATCTATCACTGTTCTTAATGTTTTCTCTGTAATGGTTTTACCTTAAGAATAAACTCGCTTGCTTAAAAAGAGCTGGGTGGTACCTTTATAACAGTAGGCAATTACACTGGTTAGCCTCAGAGAAGAAAAGTAAAACAGGCCTGCTTAGGCAATCTGACTTGCTGGAGCATTAACAGTGAAGCAGGGAACAGTGCAGCCTGGAAAAACCCCAGTCAGGAAAGAAAGATGCGGGTATCTGACCAAAAGAGGTGATGGCAGGGAGAATGAAGCCTAGAAGTGTGTTCCTTGCTCAACAGGGAGGGAGAATATAAGTGCAGTAGTTCTGAACTGTGACAGGTGTCCTTAAGAAACTATCCCAGTGCAGGAAAGCAGGGAGGTCTACCTATCAGAGTATATATGAAGCTAGGAGTTAGCTGAGGAATCAAGCCCAAAAGCCCTCTTTTCATTGACTTGTTCGGAGACCTATGGCAAGTCGCTTAATTGCATTGTATCTCCATTTACTCATCTAGAAAAGGGGAACAGTAGCAGCATTTAACCTTAAGCCTGTCATGAGACTTCGTAACTCAGAGTTAGTCAGTTGCCCATATTCGCATTGAACAGTGATAACACCTTACTCCACACACAACTGCAGTGAAATCAGTGGGGCTATACTGGCAAAGTAAGGTATGGGTAACATCAGGATAACAATTTGGTCCCTAATGCTATTTAAAAAACACAGATATTCAGTTAATATATACCACTTCTGAAATAGTCTTATGTGATACTGACACACAAGTCTGCCAAAGGAATTTGGCATGTGAGATTTCAAGTCAAGTAAGAATACATTATGGGAAGCCAGAATACAATATGTGAAGGACATAACCGACAAGCCTCAAGAAAAATTTATTGTAGCGGATTCTTGGCAGAATGAAACCCTTTGACACACCTGTTCATGTGTCAACTGAGTAACTAGCTGGAGTTGAGCTTCCTAATCTTTGACAACAGAGGTTTTTCTGCAAGATTGAAAATGTATGGAAGGGTATATTCCCTCCTTTCTTTAGAATTGGAAAGTCTGCCTCCTGCCACTAGGTATATGTCAACAGACAAGACACTCTGGAGGCATTGGAACCAGAAGGTCTTGGATCATTGCAAAGTCCCTTCAAGGAAAGTGCTTTTTTGTGTATACTTTGAATACTGAATTCGTAAATCAAACGGGTGATGTAAATCAAATGAGAAATAAAGTTGCCATTTTATTTTTGGATAATATATAGCAGATATTGGTCCACTAACTACATTCTGTTGCATTTGCACTAAACAGAATGATGGCCAATGAGTTTGTTAGCCTAGGACAGGAGTGGGCAAACTTTTTGGCCCGAGGGCCACATCTGGGAATAGAAATTGTATGGTGGGCCATGAATGCTCACAAAATTGGGGTTGGGGTGCAGGAAGGGATGAGGGCTCTGGTTGGGTTGGGGGGGTAGGCTCCAGGGGATGAGGGATTTGGGGTGCAGGAGGGTGCTCTGGGCAGGGATCGAGGGGTGCAGGAGGGTGGGAGGGGGATCAGGCAGTACAGTAGGCAATTACACTGGTTATAGCCTCAGAGAAGAAAAGCAAAGCAGGCCTGCTTAGGCAATCTGACTTGCTGGGGCACTAACAGTAAAGGGGGCAGGAGGCTGCGGCATGGGGTGCAGGCTCCAGGCAGCGCTTAGCTCAAGCGGCTCCCGGCAGCAGTGGCATGTCCTTTCTCTGGCACATACGCAAGGCAAGGCACGGCGGCTCTGCACGCTGCCCTGTCCTCAGGCACCACCCACAATGAGAACTGTGGGGGCAGCGTGCAGAGCGGAGGCCCCTTGCTGCCCCTAGGCGTAGGACTGGGGACGAGGAGGGGAGTGAGGCATGCTACTGCTTCTGGGAGCCGTGTGGAGCAGCCCCCAACCCTGCTCCCCAGCTGGAGCACCGGAGCGGGGCAAGCCCCAAATCCCGCTCCCCAGTTGGAACTCGAGGGCCGGATTAAAACTGCTGGCGGGCCGAAGTTTTCTCACCCCAGTCTATAGCGTGTGTCTCCCAAGATCCAGGCCTGTGTACTATGTTAACATTTATTACCCATCCACAGGCAGTCACATGTCTAAAAGCCAGCAACCTTGTAAAATGGAAAAAATATTAACTGAAGTGTCCCAATACTTGAATTCTTTGCTTCAGCATAAAAAAAAAAAAGAGCCACAGATGCAGCCTCGCATTATGTTAGGTATCAATTTCCAATTCAACTGAATTTTAATTAAATCCACAAGACAGTTCATGTTTTCTATTAAGGCAGGGTAGTAATGTATATGTGATGCCAGGGGCAGGCATAAAGGAGGCCTGTAGTGATTTCTGCACTGGAGGATGTGATTTCTCCCTTTCTCTCAGGAATGTCAATCAACACTAACCCCACCTTCATTGCCAAAAGCCTTGGCTATGGGCAGAAAAGTTAGCTCAAGAGAATCATATTAGGAACAGTCAGAAGTGACTTGTTTGGTTTAACTGGAACTGATTAATATATAAATATTTTGATATCAGAGAGAAATACTTGCTTATCCCAAGCACGTAATTCCCTAACAATAGCTATACTGTTGTAGAAACAGAGCCAAATTCACCATCATATAAGCAGATGCAGCTCATGCTTACCACGTCAGGAGTTGCACTTGTTTTACTCCAGCCCTCAGTAAAACCCATGGATTTTTTTTCAGGAGTAGAAATAGAATTGGTTATGATTCTGAGTCCAGGTGGGGTGGGGGGTTCCCAACTTTGCCAAGTGTATTTGGGAGTGGGCATGCAACAAGTGACAACAGCTCCAGGAATATGAAGCAGAGGGCAGACAAGCCTAGGGTAGAAGAGATACATTTGGGGGGCAGTAAACAAGCGGAGTATGCAAGAGCTCAGGGAGCGGGAACTCAGCAGGTGACGAGTCCTGGAGCATGAAGCCAGTGGCAAAGCGCCTCGCTAGCAGGAGTAGTAGGGTAACCAAATGTCCCAATTTTATAGGGACAGTCCCAATTTGGGGGGCTTTTTCTTATATAGGTACCTATTACCCCCCACCCCCGGTCCTGATTTTTTTTACATTTGCTATCTGGTCACCCTAAGGAGGAGACAAGCTGGTGCCAGAACTCCAGGGAGGGATCAGGGGTTCGGAGGGTGGCAGCTGGGCTCGGGGTGCAAGGGGCCGAGCCCCCAGGCTGCACAGGGCAGGGTGCGGCAGGCAGGTAGCACTGGCTCGAGGTGAAGGCAGAAGGGAGCAATAGGGAGTTTAATCCCAGAGGGTGGGGTGCGCAGTCCGGGGGGAGGGACAGGAGCGGCTGCTGGGAGGAAGAGGGTGGAGGCGGGGCGGTGTCCCGGGGTGTAGGAGGGGCTGGGCTGTGGGGCGGAAAGGAGGCGGGAGACGGGGCTGTGGGAGAGGGGGGTTTAGGGGAGCCATGTCCCGGGGGTGCCTGGAGGGGATGGGGCGGCTCTTTACCTCTCCAGCGCCCGCACCGTGTAGCTGATGAGCGGCCTGCCCAGCAGGGCGCAAAACTGCTTCGGGGTGGCGCTCCCCAGGCGCTCCCCGCTCCCGCCCGCTGGCAGCACCGCGGCCACGGAGGCTCCAACGCTCCGGAGCTTCCCGGGCTCCATAACGGGCCTAGGGCTGGAGCGTCCGCTCCCGAGCTCCAGCTCCAGCTGGAATCCCCCAGACCGGGGCACGGCGCGATCCCGGCGGGGGCGCAGGGACCGGGAGCGGGCGGAGCAGGGCAAGCGGCCGCTTCCCCCGCCCACCCGCCTCGCTTATCTCCCCTGGAATGTCCGCGATCCAGAGAATCCAGGCTGAGGGGGCGGCCGCTCCCCGCATGGGCCTGGCGCGTCACTCCCGCCTGCCCTGAGGTGGCTGGTTCCTTGCCCTGCAAGTGGATGGGACCCTGGGCAGCCTGGCAGGGCCCCCGGCAGCTGGCCCTTTAAATCCCGGGGGGAGGAGAGGGGGGCATAGGGATGGCTTCCGCAATGCGATTGCGCAGGCCTGCTGCGCGGGTGTGATCTCGCTCTTTGCCGCCTGTCCCCGCATGCGGAGCGGCCCCAGCTCCCGGACCCCTCTACATCCCCCCGCTGCAAAGCTACAGAGTCGCTGTTCGCAGCTCCCCAGCCACTGAGGCCTGGTTTTGCAGTTGCGGAGGGGGACAGATCCGATCTGGGCCACAAGTACAAGGTACTTGCATCCGAAGAAGTGAGGTTTTTACTCACGAAAGCTTATGCCCAAATAAATCTGTTAGTCTTTAAGGTGCCACCAGACTCCTTGTTGTTTTTGTAGATACAGACTAACATGGCTACCCCCTGATACTAAGTACAAGGTAGTGGAGAATTAGCCCCACCTAACTGGTTCTAGCCCTCTGTGGCGATAGAGGCCCTGGAAAAACATGTCCCAGTGCTTAGCTCATTTTTTCATCTTCAGATAGGGTTGCCAGGTGTCTGGTTTTCGACTGAAACGCACAGTCGAAAAGGGACCCTGGTGGCTCTGGTCAGCTGACTGGGCTGCTAAAAGTCCGATGCGCGGGGCTAAGGCAGGCTCCCTGGCTCCCAGAAGTAACTGTCATATCTGGCTCCTAGGCATAGGGGTGGCGATAGGTGCTCCACTCGCTGCCTCCGTCCCAAGCGGCAGCTCCGCAGCTCTCATTGGCCAGGAACCGCAACCAATGGGAGCTGTGGGGGCAGTGCCTGCGGGGGTGGTGTCTGCTGGCATGGGCATTGCACAGAGCACCCGGCCACTGTGCCTAGGAGCCGGACGTGCCAGCCGCTTCCGAGAACTGCCTGAGGTAAGTGCTGACCAGCCGGAGCCACATCGCAAATCCCCTCCCATACTCCAACCTGCCCCAAGTCGGAATCCCCTCCCGCATCCTAACTTCCTCCCAGAGCCCACACCCCCTTCTGCACCGCAACTTCCTGCCCCAGCCCTGAGCCCCCTCCCACACCCAAATTCCCTCCTGGCGCCCCCTGCCCCAATCCTGAGCCCCCTCCTGTACCCCAAACCCTTCATCCAAGTCCCCATCCCAGATCCCACACCCCCAGCTGGAGCCTGCACCCCCTCCCACACCCTGAACCCCTTGGCCCGAGCCCAGAGCCCCCTCCTGCACCCTGAACCCCTCATCTTGGAGCTCGCACCCCCTCCCAATCCGTGGCCCCAACGTGGTGAAAGTGAGTGAGGGAGAGTGGAGGGGGCGAGAGATGGAGTGAGTTCGGGCTGGGCCTCAGGGTGGGGGTGTTCAGTTTTGTGCAATTAGAAAGTTGGCAACCCTATCTTCAAAGCACTTTTTAACTATAGTCTTCACAGCATTCAGCATGGTAAGATGTGGCATTTCTTTATTTAACACACTCATCTCAGTTATGTGATTCAGCATTTATGAAATAAATAATTTACTGTTTGTAAAAGGATGAAACCTGGTTCTTTGAGGCCTATCATTTAGATCCAAATTTCCCAGCATAAATGGAGCAGAAGGAAGGACTTCAAACTGCCCTGCTAAGGGGAAAGTCAGCCATTTATACCCTCTATGGCAGGGTGGGAAAACTTACTGACCTTCTCAGCCGCATACAACAATTTTCAGAAGTTCAAGAGCCTGCCCGCTATTACTGAAACCCCAATCCCCAGCAGGTATGCTCTGCAGGGCTGAAGCCCCGAAAACCTCCTCGCCACTGGGCAGAAGCCCTTACCCCACTACAAGACAGAGGTTCCAAGCTCACCCCCCCAGCCTGATAGGTGGAGAAGGGGTGGGTGGGAGGCTTCCATGAGCTGCACTTTAACAGTAAAAGAGCTGCATGCGGCTTGCGAGCAGTGGTTTGGCCACCCCTGCTCTATGGTTTTTCAGTTGGGTCCCAATTCTGCCAGCATTCAAGACAAGCAGAGTTTTACCATTGACTTCAATGGGAAAAGGATTGAGCCCTTGGAAAACAGACTGAATTTGGCAGCACTGCACCCTAATGTGAACAGAGGCTTACTACAGTGAGAAAAAGAATATCACTTTTTAGCACCCCTTTTTAGTCCACAAAAGCGTTGGTTCATTCCCACTGACCCCAGAAGAGAGATGCTAGAAGAGCAGCCATTGCATGAAGTTCAGATGTATTGATTCATGTTATGACATGCTGGGCTATATATAGTTTATCCTTATGAATTTATAGGACCATGTTCTGGATTCCATGAGGAAAAATGAATGAAATAAAGGGGAGCTGGGCCATATGTTAAAGCTGCATCTAGGGTAACAGACAAAATGCAGCATAAATTGATGCACATAACTTCTTTACTCACACTCCCTGCCGTGCAGTCTAGGTGGCTTTGAATGTCAGTGCTAATATCTGGCTTCATTTTAAAGTTTCAAGTACATTTCACTGTAAAGACAGGCTATGATTGAAAGCTTTTTATGGTGATTTTTTCCCAAACAATTTGTATTTATGGTCCACCCTACAATGACCCAGAAACTTTGGAGCCCATGAAGCCCAAAGGTCTCCTGATTATTATTATTATTTTATTATTGAGAACCTCTGACCAATTTCTAGTCATCTGCTGGTGGCACTAGATATGCTGCAAACTGAGCCAGCTCCTCTTCTGAGCAACCAGTGTGGCCTCAAGTGAAGGGAAGTTCAACAGTGGTGCTGTGTTGAAGTGAGATTTCTCTACTGACTCAAAAAATTGAGATGTTCATTAGTGACATTCAACCAAATTGAAGGAAGGAATAGAATGCACCTAAAGGAGTGCAGAGACGGGATGAGGTGGCAGGCAGAAAATGTGTATGTCACTTATGTACCATAAGATAAGAATGAGAACAGTACTAACAAACAGAAAAGATTTATGGTAACAGTGGAGCTAGGAAGGTCTTAGAAAGCCATAGATGCGAAACCACAATGAACCATTAGCCATAATAAGGATCGAGGACATTCAAATTCAGAGAGGCCCCCACAGCTAGGGTAATGAAAAGAAACCACATCAGGACTGTTGGGGAACAAAGAAAGAGATTTTAAAGTAAAAAAGACAGAGTATGGTCTTTGCTTGGGGAGCAGTCTTAGGGGAAGAATGCGTTGACAAAAGCAATTCCAGGAGACTGAAGAGGGCTGTTGGGATTGTTGTAACAGAAAAACAGGCTAAACTGGGTTGAGAAAGAAGAGTGTAAGAACGTGAGTAATGAGAATATGAGGAACACTTTGCTACAGAGTCTGTGGAATTGATGGTCATACCTTGACACCAAAGAGCACTGAAAATAGATTTTCTTGCTAGAAATAGGAATGCCCTCTTTCTAGGTAAGTCTTGAGATCTCTTTGGTATACTCATACTTCTCAATCTGTCCACCGTCTTCAGCACTGTTGATCACTTCCTCTTTTCAGAAATTTCTTCCCCCATTGGATTCAGAGACTGTGCTCACCTGGTTCTTTTCCCTTTGAATGTATCTTGCCTTCTCCCTCTTTCTGTAGGATCCCTTAGTGCTGTGTCCTCTTCCTCTACATCTTATTCCTGATTGACTTCAGTTGCTGCACCAGCTTTCTTTGCTGTCTTTATGTTGAGACTTTTATATCTACCTTTCCAGTCTGACCTTTTCCCCTTCCATAGTGTCTCTGGATGTCTGTTCAACATCTCTTCTTGGAGGTCAGCTGTCAACTCAAGCTCAAAATGACTAGAACCCAAAGTCCTCATCTTTCCTCTTCTCTTGCCATCCTCTCTGACCTTAAAGCTTGTAGGCCAATTTTTTTCTTTTTACTTTACTCTCGCTTTCTTTCCCTACATCAGTGCTGTGCCTGAAAATGTGCTGATATTTTTTTCTGAAGCATCCTCAAATGCATCTATGCCCTGATCATCTATAGCAATCTCTCTGTGACCTCCTGACTCTTGCTTCACTCCGTCTTCAGTCAATCCAAAATGCAGTTGTAAAGAGTATCTCTCGCTCACCAGTCCAGTCATGTCCAGATGCTGCTCATCAGGTCTTTTCACTAGTATTCCTTTGTTCTTTGTAGCAAACTAAAGCTCCTTTTCCTCCCCTTCATTGCTCCTGCATATCACTCTGCTCTCTGGTTATGAGTTTGGTGGGGTTTTTTGCACTCTCCCTTCAATTCCTTTGACTTCTCCAAACCATAAGACTAATTGTTCCCTTGTGTTCTTCTTTCCCTTTTGTTTCTATCTCTTTTTCCATGCAATACACTATGCCTAGAATCCCTTCCCCAATGTAGTCCACTGTACCACCACCCTTTGCTCTTCCAAAACTCAGTTCTTCCATGAGGGCTACAAACCCTAGTGTTTCCCTGAAAAACCTACAGGAACTAAAGAGATATGTGTTGAATGATGTGACCACATGTTTATTTGCTTTTATTTTGCAGCTGATGCCCCAACTTTATCATAATTTTAGATGAATGAGGTAGCATAGGGCAGGAAAAGAAATAGCTAAGGAGGCATTAACTCTGACTTAAAAGGTCATATGGCATGTCAGCTATTAATACATTGTATATTTAGGTCCAGTTTTTCCAGTCCAGCCAACCAATGCTTTGAGTTTCTTTTAAGTTGCACAGACTGGCACCTATGTGTCTTAGGTACTTAAGTAGTACCTGAACATCTCATGATCTGTAATGCTTTGGTCTTCACAGCACCCTTCTGAGGTAAAGCACTTCAAAATCCCCATTTTAGAGATGGGGAAATGAGGCCCAGAAAGACTGAGTGACATAGCCAGGGTCACACAAGAAGGCTGTAGCAGAGCTGGAAAATGTACACAAATTTCCAAAGTGCTAGGCTTGCTCCCTAACAACAGGACCCTGCTTTCTCTCCCTAATTGGTCTTAGAATAATGGAATCACAAAGGTGGTGTGAAGATACCTTTGCCTCTCCACCTCTCGCAGTGCTCCAAGTGCAGCACATGGATGGTTATGGATAGGACTGTGTTCTGTAGGGTTAGTCTCCAGGCCACCTGAAAGCTGAAGAAAGCAGTTCTGAACACCGCAGCTATTTGGATGTCCATGTGTAGTGATGGTTTGAAAAGGACCTCAAAGTTATGCAGTCACAGCACTTGTTAGTTCCTCAAAATGATGTTCTTTGCCTGTTAGTATCAGCTTGGTCTTGACTGGATTGAGCTTGATACAGCTGTTTTTCATCTTAGTTCCTATTTCTTATGGGCCTGGATCCACAACGGAATCTAGGCACCTAAACTGCAAATTTATGCACATATGTACCCTTTTTAGACGCCACTTAGATCCACAAAACCCCCACTTGTCTCCAGCCTAACTCAGGAAGGTGCCTAAACTCACTTGGTGCCTAAATTTATGCACTAAAAGTTGCCTGACAGCCTAAGTTTCTGCCCTGGGCATGTGAACTGCTGTGTCACTCTAGGCGTCAGACCACATTTCTCCCACTTGAGCCCCAGCACGATCCACGAACCGGGGAGAAGGTGCTTCTCCACCTAAGTCACGTGCAGGGCCTGATCCAGTAGGTGTGCTATGAGGCCGTTTAACGCTACAGAAAGAAGCCAGGGTGGGGAGGACCTCCCTTGCTACCTTTATCCTAGTGGTTAGAGCGCTCACCAGTAGGTGGAAGACCCCTGGTTTAAGTCCCACACACACACACCTGATGAGATGGGATTTGAATGGGAGCTCCCACTACTCATCTGAGTGCACAGACCATGGGCTATGGGACATTCTGATGTGGATCTCCCTCAATCTCTCTTAGAAGTTGTTCCTCTTTAATTAAATAAATGAATAATTAAAGTATTTTAAAAAATCTTTAAAGAATCCCCAAACTGCCCGCTATATAAATATAAAACGCAAGAATCATAAAAATACATTAAACTAAAAATGCCAAAAATCCACAGAGCATGACTGTGGCTAAACAATACTTCAGCATTTTCAGCAGCAAAGGAGGCATTCAGCCAAAATCCTATGCTTACAGGATTTTGTTTCGCTGATTTTATCCAGTTTAATAAAACAGTGATTTTTTTTTAACGATGACAAGCAGTAAAATAACCCTCCTGTGATATAAATTAGCAAGTGTAATATCAAGTACAATTCATTTTGAAGAGAAGGAGGGTTTTTTCAGCTCTCATAAGTTCTCCATCTTGTCTTTCTACTGGTCACCAGTACAGATATTTGTAATTTTAGAGGCCACAATTTATCGTGTAATGGGGCAGGGACCATTTCTTTATCTGTCTTTGTACAGCGCACAGCTTGAATTTGAAAAGAGAATCCTTTGAGCTTATCGTCCTGCCTGCCAAATGCAATCTATAGTGCATTTCATCAAAGGATCTCAAAGCACTAAGCCTTTATCATCAGTTCTCTCTTTAATTCTGAATGGAAAAAATACATATCTTTGCCACGATAAATGTAAAAAAAAACAGATTTTGTCTGTGCACCCATTGAACTGGGCATTAGAATAAAACATAAGGTAAATATTTGTCTTTTACAGCCCTCAGGATACCAAGCCTTTTCATTGTTGATATAAGAAAGGATTAAACTATTCTTTGTGCTTTCCTTTCAGGCTTATTTGCTGCAGTGTTCTTTCAGTCTTTATTAATTTAATATCAGAGTTCTCTGCGCAGGCTCATAGAGCTCAGTCTGTCATGATCCTGGTAGGCCTCACTCTCTATATGGGCTGGGTATAGTGTGGCTTGAGGCTGTGCAGTAGACAGGGAAATGTTGAAGAAGCCATGAAATTTTGTTTTACAGTTCCAATGACAAATAATATCATTGTGTGCTGAATCGAAATTGGCTATATATATTTACACTTATGATTGAAAAGGGTTTGTGACCTCATACTCCAAGATCCTTTAGTGAAAGGTGCTATAGATGTGAAAATTATCAGTAGTGGTTCACTCATTTAAATAAACTGTGGTCCTATTTCAGTCTACTTTAAGGGTCTGTGCCTTAGAGGACACAGTGGCCCTCATTCAGCAAGGTATTTAAACATCTTCAATCTAGCAGAGAAAGATATAACACGATCCAATGGGTGGAAATTTAAGCAAGACAAATTCACAATGGAAATAAGTAAATTTGTAATGGTGAGAATAATTAGCCATTGGAACAATTTACCAAGGTTTATGGCAGATTCTTCATCACTGACAATTTTAAAGTCAAGATTGGATGTTTTTTTAAAAGATATACTCTAGGACAGGGGTTCTCAGACTTTTGTATTGGTGACTCCTTTCACATACCAAGCCTCTGAGTGCGACCCCCCTTATACATTAAAAGCACTTTTTAATATATTTAACACCATTATAAATGCTGGAGGCAAAGCAGGGTTTGGGGTGGAGGCTAACAGCTCATGACCCCCTGAGGGGTCCCAACCCCCAGTTTGAGAACCCCTGTAGGAATTATTGTATGGGAGTTCTGTGGTCGGTTATACATGAGGTCACATTGGATGATCACAAATGGTCCCTTCTGGCCTTGGAATCTATGAATCTGAGTAGTTCTGCTGATGTCACATGCTCACATGCTTAAAGTTTAGTACATGCATGAATATTTGTAGGATTAGCTCTTTAAAGGGAATTTTAGGTACACACGTAATGCAGGATCTGGCCCTTTGTGTATAGCACACTACCTCACCTTCATTTTACTTTACATGTTATATTTTTGCATGCCCAACAGATCTTACATATTTTAGTATGTGATTATGATTTTTGTCCACCAAACTAAATGGTAGTGTGGCTACTGAATTTTGGTTAATAGGTAAAAAAAATATTTCATGTGTTTTTAAAAAAGAATTCACCAACAAGAGTGTAAATAGAGAACATAAAGTATTCTGACACAAATGGAAAGGAAAGTGTGAAATGTGCCATCTGTGCACAATGGAGTTTTTTTCATAACTACTTGCACTTCACTGTGGATAAGTGTTGAATGACATATGGCAAGTTCACCCATTGTGTTGCATTTATTTTATATCTCACTGTTAACATTGTTTTAATTAGTTCTGGTAGATACATTAAATTTGTTCTGGAGACAAACAAGGCTTACTGATGTTTTATGCAAGTATTGGAAAAAATAAGCAACCTGTTCATTTGATGTTTGACCTAAAATTACAAACATTTTAAAATCTGAACCTAAAGTGGTGCATTATGATTTAAATACCTTTTCAACTCCAATGGAAAATTTTATACATTTACATCAAAATAATGTATTTACAATTTTAAGGTATAGATTTCAAGATGAAGTTGCTTTAAACTGAGTTATTTTAAAATAAGACACTTTTTAGCATGTATTCTTCCAAGTTATCTTGACCTAAGACTTTCTAAGGTCTAAGACCTTAAACTTTCTTATTGTTTCTGTTTAATTTCAAGAGAGAGCTTGAGGGGCTAGACCAGATCTTCTGAACACTTTTGCTCTTTTCAATTCAACATGATTCTTAAAATTGTTCTTAAAGTTTCTCCTCTTTTGCTTGATATTACCCTGATACATAACACAACATGGAATATACTGGTGAAATCAAGCAGTAATAGGTTGCTTATATGGAGATGATGGAAACACTATCACCTTTCACTAGATTTTGTTACATCTTACTGTGCCTCAGGTCCCCATCTGTAACCTTGTCCCCTATTTTAAAGATTGTCATGTATTTCAAGCACTGGATTGGGACTCAGGAAATCTGAGTTAAATTTCTGACTTTGCCACAGACTTTTGTATATAACTTTGGGCAAGTCACTTGTAATTAGAAGTGGTTGCAAAACCTCAACTTTTTAGTGTTTTGATGGAACAGATTTTTCACAAAAAATGTTCCCCATTTTTTCAACTCTCTCTCCTTAATATCCCTGTTTGTGAAATTCACCCTGATGCTGACGGCTGATGCCAGGAACATCACATCACTTAATTCCTGCATAATGGTTTCATGGGGATCAGTCAACTGAGCAGATGCATAGGTGCCTGCATATTCCTGTGCCCTGCTAAACTGGTCTCTGTGACAGCCTGTGCCGGGCCAATGTGGAAAGCTGCTTTTGCCTGGATTGAGTAGCCCTAGTATTACAAGCAACTATGCAGAGGGGATATGAACACTATTCTAGCTTATATGATGGAATAGCAGCCACGAGGGCTGGAGTAAGAGGAAGTTGTGAAAAACTCAGCCCTGTGGCCATGGGTTGTGGGATGGTAAGTTTCGCTTCACCACCCTAGGGAGGAAGGATGAGATAATGAAGGCACTGGACAGGGACTCAGGAAACCTAGGTTCAACTCCTGGCTCTGCTGCAGACTGGCCAAGTTACTCTGTGCCTAATTCTGTCGGGCTAGGCCAGATGTGTTCTGAACAGTAAAACTTCCTTTGCCTTTTTAGATCATAAGCTTTTCAGGGACGGGACTGTCTCTTACTATGTGTTTGTAAAGCACCTAGAACAATGGGGCGTCTAGACACTGCCATCATGCAGGTAATTACAATGAAATAATCTCAATGTTTTGTATATATCCAAACAGTTTCTCCTCTTTGTTTTTATATCCTCCCAGTTTAGATAGCCTTGTAAAAATGTTGCAGGTTGCTTGTGTGTTGTGTGTTTTTTGTGTATTGATAACTTGCTTAAAAATCCTTTGCTCACATTGTAATTTACTGAATTTGTTAAAATATCACATTCTTTTCTGCATCTTCCTACTTTGAACCGTTTAAACAATGCTTATAAAGTATAAAAAAATCATGTAAACTACACCTCTACCCCAATATAACGCGACCCGATATAACACAGATTCGAATATAATGCGGTAAAGCAGCACTCCGGGGGGCGGGGCTGCGTGCTCCGGTGGATCAAAGCAAGTTCGATATAACGCGGTAAGATTTTTTGGCTCCCGAGGACAGCGTTATATTGGGGTAGAGGTGTATTAGCTACCCATGCAAGTCTCTGTGCTCAATCCTTGTCTGTTTCAGAGCTATGCTCAGCATAGAAACTGAGGGGGCCAAGGGCAAAAATGTCTTTATACCATCTTTATATCCTTCCACAATCCGTGGCTGTCAGGGAACCAGTTTGACACCAGTATAATCTAGAGAAGCCTTAGTGGTGCGCTAAGTTATGTCTTGTTTCAATGCCACCGTTCCCCCCCAAATGGGTAGTTCCAGCAGCCAGGAATCACTAGGACATCATTTGCTCCAGCTGTGACCCTTTCCTTCAACACAGCCTCTACCAACTACATTGGCTTTACACAACTGGAGGATTCTCCTACCCAATGGGGTAGGTGGAACTCACCTCTGCAAATTCTTGGTTGATCTCTAGTCCCTTAGGGATCATAGCCTGCTGTCATAAATGCAAGCAGCATTTAGACTATTGTAAATTACATTTGGGCTGGAACTACTATGGCTTGAGAAGCAGGAAACCAGTTATGGTGTCCTAATGACCCTTCTCTCCTGTGCAGAACAGATCTCACAGAAATCTTGAAAAATCCTATCTTTCTCTTCCTCAGTTTTGTAGTCATGTGCGGATTTATCTGTCCTTTTAGAAAATATTTCCTTCCCTGTTTTTTGGTAACATCAGGTTTGGCAAGGAAGAGCTCTTAGGGAATCTTCATGGCAAAAAAAAAAGGGTCTCTCGCCTTCACTATGTTTTTATTTTTTTGTGGAGACAATAGAGCAGCCCTCCTGGAAGAGGAGGATAAAAGCTCCATTCTTTCCCTCCTTCAAGGCACTGAGGATGTTCTCCTTCAACTTCTAGTCCCTTTTCTTTGTACTAAGACGCCTTTCTTCTGTTTGTGCACTCATCTAAATGAATGTTATTTTTAGGAATTACCTTTATTTCCCCTCCCTGTCTTTCCTTTCTCTTTCTCAGAACATCAGGGAAACAATTTTGGTGTTTGTCCCTCATTATGGGGTTAAATTGATGACTGCATGCTGTAGTGTGGTCACAGCTCAGTTAAAGATGGGAGAAGAGTCAAACTAGCGAGATCCTTTGTCCCAGCACATCTACTCCAACCGCACAAAACAGGCTTAAAGCCAGTTGAAATGGTCAGTTAAGGATTCCATTTGTATAGGGGAATCTTCCACTGGTGTAGAGCTGGCATACCTGGCTATAGCTAAGGAGAAAGCCTATGTTAAATTTACTCTCCTCCCACTCTCCTTTCAACTCATGAACAATCACCTCTGATCAGGGGCAGCTCTATGTTTTTCGCCGCCCCAAGCACGGCAGTCAGGCGGCTTTCGGCGGCGCGCCTGCGGGCGGCCCGCTGGTCACGCAGATTCAGCGGCATGCCTGCGGAATGTCCGCCGGTGCCACGCCATTGGTGTCCCCGCCGCTGAATTGCCGCCGAAGCCGCGGGACTGGCGGACCTCCCGCAGGCATGCCGCCGAACGCAGCCAGACTGCCGCCCTCTCAGCGACCAGCAGGCCGCCCCCTGCAGCTTACCGCGCTGGTGCCTGGAGCCACCACTGCCTCTGATTATAATAGGGTTTTCCTTTCCGTAAATGGATCCAGAGAGAGAACGGGTTTGTTAAGAGCAATCAAGCCAGACTCCTGAAAAAGACTGGCAGGACTTGGGAGGCACCAGCCAGTCCAGTGAAGATGCATTTAAAGAGTTACAGGTGCAACAATAACCCTTTTTTGAATAAACTGTGCTATATAAATGATTTATAGCACTGCCCTGGCAAGTGTCACTTGAGCCATGAGCTGCACCGACATAGGTCAATGCAGAGACAAGATTCCAATTAAATTTTAGGAGCTGAAGTCAGAGATTTGGGATGTGTGCAGGATTTTGAAAGTTCTAATTCTTGTGTGCTTTCTTTTTCTGTATTTAATACAAGTTTGGTTTTATGCATGGCACCATAACGTGCTCTGATTCATTTCTTCACAGAAGTACCAAGGTGCTCATGATTGAGGATACTGCTACTTACCTATCCTATCAGGGAACTGTCAGACACAACTAATGTGAAAAACTTTTGTAGAGTCTTGGTTGAAAGACCCCCATAGAAGTGGGAAGTATTATTGGTATTTATTATTACACTGACAAGATTGCTTCTGAGACTCTTGTTATACGAACAGTGTTCCTTACTAACCCTTAGTGTGCCAGAAATGTTCATCTGAGCTTCATGGGGAATGCAGGGGGGTCCATACCTGATTGGCCAAGAGGCACAAAAGAGATAACATTAATGTATAAAGTTACAACCCAACAAACATGCTGGTCGCAACTAAATTGTCAGGGATCTAAAATGGCATCAGGTAAGGTGAGATTACAAGCCAAAAGCAAATTGAGGCTGTATTCACCAGTCATAGATCTGTTTGGTATGCTTTAAACCAGGGGTAGGCAACCTATGGCACGCGCGCCAAAGGCAGCACTCGAGCTGATTTTCGGCGGCACTCATACTGCCTGGATCCTGGCCACCAGTCTGGGGGGGCTCTGCATTTTAATTTAATTTTAAATGAAGCTTCTTAAACATTTTAAAAACCTTATTTACTTTACATACAACAATAGTTTAGTTATATATTATAGACTTATAGAAAGGGACCTTCTAAAAATGTTAAAATGTATTACTGGCACGCGAAACCTTAAATTAGAGTGAATAAATGAAGACTCGGCACACCACTTCTGAAAGGTTGCCTACCCCTGCTTTAAACAAAAGGGGATATGTGGGTTTCTTTTTTCTTTTACACTGTAACCCTTTTAACAGGTGCCTTGGGCAAAGTGAATTGACATAATGCCTGCCTCGTACATCACTGATTTGTGAACCTTTTAATCTCTTTTTAAAATGTTATTTTAGGGCTAACAAAGTGCTGGAATGACACTCCTAAAGACCGATAGACACAGCATAGACAGAAGCTGTGCTCTGCCCTGCCACTGCACCTCAGCCCTTTCTGGACAGTCCAGTTCTAGTGGTGAAAGGGAGAGTTCAGTCTTTCAATCCTAGGCTTGTCTGCCAAGAGTTTCAACAAGTTACCAATTTTTCCCAATTTCAGTGGCTAACTGTCCCTAGCAGTTGTACAGAGATTTCGGCCCATTTCCCGGAAGGTATTTTTGGACTCCTAACGTCCATTGAAATCTGTGGAAATTAGCCTAAATACATTTCAGGATCTGGGCCTATGAACTTATTTAACACAGACTCCACTGAACAACCATCAGATAATTACTTTTATTCACTACTGATCTGCTAGAAACAAACAAATGACTTAGTGAGAAATGCTCTGTATCCTATTACCAGTTCTCTGAGATATCCGGCCCCCTATTCTTCCATTTTATGCACTTTAAAAATATTTTTTTATATATTCATCTCTATCTATATCTCCTGCTTCCATTTAAGTTCTGGCTTTTGCAACATTAAACATTTTTGAGAATACATAATCCAGTTTTTCTTTAATACAATTTAGAAACTTCTTAATCTGTTTAGACAGAGTGGAGGAATGTGTAAATTTTACACTGCAGTGAATGAGAATCCAAATGGCAAGCCAGTGATGGGGGCATCCGTCAAGAAAGAAGGGGGAAATTTTGTCGTCAGCAGCTACTTGTAAAAATGTGGAAGTGATCAGATTTGTAGGATGTCTGCAGTATTTGAATAGATTAAAAATCCCAACAAATGTTAAGTTTTAAGGGAAGTTCCAGACAGCTATGTAGATAGATTATATAATTAAGGCTTTTTGTTTAAAAAAAAAATCAGAGAATAATTAAGCAAATAAAAACTGGAATGTTATAATTAACACTTGCCCTAATCTTGCAAACACATTTTGTTTCCTTGGGAAAGGGTGTCAAGATATATGTATAAGATCATAGAATATCAGGGTTGGAAGGGACCTTAGGAGATCATCTAGTCCAACCCCCTGCTCAAAGCAGGGCAAATCCTCAGACAGAGGGGTGTTTTTTGTTTTTGTTTTTTTTTAACAACCCAGTACCCTGAATGGCCCCTCAAGGATTGAACTCACAACCCTAGGTTTAGCAGGCCAATGCTCAAACCACTGAGCTATCCCTCCCTATCTGAATAGAGATATGAAACACATGAAAGAGAGAGCTTAGTACTTGTATAGAACTTGAAGGTTTTCTGTGGATGATTTCCTAATCACCGTTCCTAATAAAACTTGGTCACAAAATTTGATTATGAATTTATAATTTTGTAAGGGTAGCACTGATCTTTTTGATAAACATCACTACATTCCTCTGGATGAGCATGGGCTAAATTCTCCCATGGGAAAAACCTGGGTATGCGGTGGAGTGACAGAGTTCTGAGAACTCTGTAAGTATGAACTTGCAGAGTTTCTGCTGTGTTCTCCCCTTAGGGAGGGGGGTGTATGGCCACATGGAGGAGGCAGAGGATGTGTCTTTGCAACAGGGTGGTACATGAGGATCTGTGGAGATATCAGATCCCAGTGGCTCCTTGGCGTTCTCCATAGCATTGTAACATGGCTGAGTTGGAATCCATGCTTGACATACATGCTGTGGCTATGCACTGCCCTCCATGTCAAGGTGCGTGGGGGTAGAAGTTGCAGAGATGGAACTAGGAGCAGGATTAATTCCTGTGTACATTTCCACCTGAAAATCCACAGGGTCCTGAGGAGAGCATACCACATACATTGGCTGCACTCTGGTTCTGCCACCTGCTGGTCAGCACCACTCAAAATCCTGTGGCGCCTCAGTTTCTCAGTGTTCAAGTGAAGAAGTTCTGATGGTCTTGGAAAAGTGAAGGAACATACAACATAGCTCCTGCAGTCCTACATGTATTGTGCTTGGGCCCTTCCTGACACAATTTCCACTCCTTTCCTCTGCTCTGTGACATGTCAGTGGAGAAACATCTCACCAAGTCAAGTTTTTAAACTTACCACACTGTGGTATTAAAGGAAATGGCCTTGTTAAAGTTTCTCCAGCAGTGTAGTATCTGTTGGTCAAACAGCAGGTCCGTATATAAGAAAGTCATAATGGGTCATCAGAAGGTGCTCTGGGAGCACAAAATTGGATCGAAAATCCAACTTCAAAACAGGGTGTTTTTATGCAAGAATGTTCAAAAGATCGCTGCAGGCCTGTTTTCAAAATTCTGTAGAGCGAACATTTGGTGGTTCCAAATACTGATGATGACATCCTCACATTAGTGTTGGAAATGAAAGAAGTCCTTTGGTGCATGATTGGAAGTGCCCAATGGTATGTACACTTTGGAATGAGGTAGTATTATGGGTCATTTTCAGCTTATACTATGATGGTAGACTGATCCAGTGGGTCAGGTAACTCGTTCTCACAAGACATTGGTTCTTTAAGATTTATGACTGCAGCTGAGAATTTTTGCTCAATGGAAACAGCAACAGCACCAAATGTGAGTGTGCTGCTGCAATAGTCTTTTGGGAATCACAAGATTTGAGAATGTAGCATTTTCAAGATATTTTAAACATTTATTGTTATTTACAAAACAAAAAACAACACATTACTGATGAGTTAATATTGAAACTGTGTTACAATAGACTCCAGATAACATTCCAAAGCAATATTAGTTTTCTTACAAAAATTCTACTTTTCTTAACAAAATCAAACACGATAATATCTGGAAACAAACAGTGAAGAGATTCAACCTGTTCCCTGCTGCTATATAATCCTTCATCACTTCCTATGACTCCACCCAAATTGCCCTCTAAAATTTGAAAAATGTATGTAGCAAGGGTCAAAAACACAAATGCATGCCTGAGATCAATTTATATTTATAAATATTTAAAACAATTTAAAACCAAGCATGTTACACATGTGAAAACTACTATGTATAAATGTGGGCAGTTATAGATAACAGATAAGTGCTGGGGAAGAAAGGAAAAAAACAAGTAATCCCTCCCTGTGCCAAAACATAAAACACTGCATCTTGCCATCAGAAACAGTTGCCATGGTTCAGAGCATTTCTCCATCCCAGCTTAATGCCCAGGGACTCTGAACAGGAGCTTCTTCAACTTGTCCAAAAAAAAATAAAAAGTCCAGCAGGCAACAAATAGCTTAATCTTGCTTCAGACAGGGTTAAAAACAAACAGTCCTCACTTTACAAAATCTCTCAATATATAATCCTTCACCTTGCTTCCTGTTCCTGTGGTGCGGCTGGACAAGCACTTCTTGTTTTTCCTAAGCCTCTTCCTTCCAGTTTCCACAGTTTCCATGTATAAAGCACAGTTTCCATGCTTCAGTGAACCCCTCTTTTGCCTACTTTAGCATTGGATGGCACAAACTGGTTTATGTTTTTATTAGGTATCTTTGTAATTTCCCCCCTAACTGCCCCCCAAATCACTCCTCACTAACATAAATCAGATGTGGAACTTCTAGGCCAAACTAGATAATGAGTTCTCATCTCAGTTACCATAATTACAAAAATAATAATGTATTCACTCTGCAGAAAAGGAGACTGAAATATCTCCAAGCAGAAAAATATGAAGCAGGGTGCTTTAGTGAATATGGCTCAAAAGAGCTAAGTGCTTTAGCCATGGGAGAAACAGGTGTGTTTATTTGAAAGGCAATAATACAGTTACTGTAGGATTACTGAAACATAGCAATAGAATTCAAAATGGAACAAGAAAAAATATTTAGATAAGGCAATCAAGAACATGAAATTAACATTTTATTTTATGTAATATTATTCCTTAATAGGTGATATTGTTGATGTGACAGCAAGTGGCTTCCTCAATGCCTAGTAAGCGCAGCAATTTCATAGAATATTCTGGTATAAATCTCTCTTACAGCGAAGCAGATGTTGATACTTATATGTATATTGTATAGTACTTTATTCTACAAACAGCTCCATTGAAATCAATAGAACTGATTATCATTTACACTAAGACATCTTTACACCACTCTGGAAGTTTAAAGAAGCCTTAAAGTGGGTATAAATTACATGTACCCATTGTTACGTTTATGCAGTGTTACATTACCTATTAAAGTTTTATGTGTGTGTCAACTATGTGTTTTAAAAACGAGTTATATATTTACATGCTTATGGAGATTTTTTTTCAGAAATTTGGTAAGAATACATTTAGAAATATTTCAAGTAATTGTTTGTGCTGTATTGCATGATCAGCATTAATTAGGAAGGGAAAGTAGAATAATTACTTGTAACTGGAAGTCTTGAAGAAGATTTTCCAGGTGGTTGGCAATATAACTTACAAAAACGGTAAGAGTAGAGAGGAACTAATGTGTCAAGACAGCTCAGATGTGAAATGATCTGAAAGGTTGGATGTCTTTCAGAAAGATGCTCAGGCAGGTTTCTTGTTGTGGGGATGATGTGCAAATAAAATGAACAAATCTAGTGACAGAATGTCTGCTTGACTCATAAATCTGTAGACAACTTCCAATTTTAACCTGGAGCTATATTTACATGTATGTCAATGAAATTAAAATCAAAGCCCCCTGCTTGGCCTACGGGAAAGGAAATGCATCATGAGAAGAGAATGCTTTCCAGCACTGAAGGCTCCTTATAATTTTCCACTAAACACCTCCAGGTTAATACTGTAGCAACAAGAATCCCACAGTGGAATGTGTTGAACAGTCCCATTGTGATTAATGCTGTACCTCTTCAGGAAGGATGTAAAGGTCAAGTTTAGGAGGACTACAGTGATTTACTAACAGAAATCTGGTAGCTATTTCCAGGGGTATTATTCAAAAGTCTGCTTTATTTCCAAATAAATGACTGAACTTGGATTTGGCACTTCTGATTTCAAGGCTGCTGGCGACAAAGGAACAACGGGTATGTGACTATTACTAAAAAATGAATAAATAAACCTCCTAAAGGCCTTTCTAATCTTTGACCTACAAGAGTCATACACTTTTGACCTCCAAAATGGAGAATGCTCTAATGACACCCCCATGCCACCCCTGCAACTCCACAGCATTCCCTTTCCTCTAAGTAGTTACAGTGTTATCAAAACAATCAGCATCTGGTTTCTAATGATGTCTGTGGAAAATTGATTTTCATTCATTATAAATCAATTTGCCCCTTTGCTGTGGGCTACTGTCATCAACAGGAAAGTAATGAAATAATGATCTATCTTACCCAATTGTACTGAACTTGTTCAGCTTTAATTTTCAAAAGATGAAAATAGCAGGCTTTTTTAAAATATATTTTTTTAAAATACTAGATTTTAAATGTAAAACACTTGCTTTTTCTAGAGATTGGATTGCAGAGGACCCACATTTCATCAGAGTGGAGATATATCTTCCTTTGTCTTGTGACTGGTTGTCCATCAATCAGGAGGGCAGACACAAGTATTTATTTACCCTCTGAATAGAAGGCACTGAGATGAAAGATATCACTTTACACTATAGGCTGATGTTACAATAACTACAGAGAAACACTATTTTCAGAAGCCCCGGGCCTCCTCACTGCACCTATTGAGGAGCATATTATATAGACAGTTTGTATATGTTCTGTAGAAGAAAATTCACTATCTATTCATGTAACAATGACCTAATCTGCCTCTACATTGTATTTATTCAATACAGTTACAAGTTTCTTTTGTCTGTTTACATTACTTAGTTTTCAATTAAAATATTCAAGGTCTGGCCTAAAGCCCTGTCCTTTTCAACAGAGACTGAATGAATCTGACTTATTATAATATTATTTGTCAGCTATTAAATTATTTCAGTTCCATTTTTGAACGTTAGTAATTGTTTCATTTAACTATAACAGCATGGCTTCAAGAGCTAAATATCAACACAGTGGCCCAGATCATACCACTGCATCCTCACAGGGAGGGGAATCTCCATATTTGGAAGAGAGAAGTCAACTGACTCTACATCATTGTTTCCCCCTCATCTGAAACCTTTGGATGGGGCTCTGTGGATTCAAGTTCAGCATGAGGAGAAGGGACTGAAACTGTACAGGCCAGAGGGAGATGCAGGCAGGCTGGAGCCAAGAGGTGGGTGGGAATGACACACATTGCACCGTATAGCCCCATGAATGGTGATTCCCCAGAAAAGTGAATACAGCTCAGGTCTCTAGTTCTTCTTTCCTCAGAACTCCCATGGCTAAGGGAGATGCAATTCCAGAGAGCAAAGGAGGGCCTGCAATGCCCAGAGGTGAAAGTAAGCCGGTACAGCGTACTGGCAAGAGCCAGTACGCTGTGCCGGACCAGCCCCGCTGGTGATTTAAAGGGCCCGGGGAATTTAAAGGCCCCGCCTCTTCTGGTTGAGGCCACACCTCTTCCGGTTGAGACCACGCCCCCTGCTCAGGACTCCAGAATACCGGTAAGTCTTTTAAGTTACTTTCACCCCTGGCAATGCCAGAGCCACTGCAGATACACAGGGACTCTACTAGGATGTCATTGGCCTCCCTCAGGTCCCTGGAGATCTACCAAATTTGAGGGTGGACCCTGTTGTCTTTTCTGGGGGGAGAGGGGCCAAACCACATTTCCCCCAGCAAGACACTGTGAAGGGATCCTCATAAAAATTTCTCTGTTCAGAATCATCCATCCCTCGAAGCCCCCTGTACGTGTTACTCCAAGAACAGATGATCTGGTGTAAAGTTACTAACAGTATTCTTAAGAGTAGAATCATTACTAAAGTTATCTTTTATTTTTACAACTAAAACTCACTGTGCTTAAAGGGGAGCTAAGACTAGGACATGATAGTCATGCCCTTTTTTATTATTATTATGGGCATTGTACTCCAATCACATTAGAGTCAAACTCACCCCATGTGTAAGCGGACACATTTCCATTGGTTTGAGTAACTCCAGACTTCGACTGAGTTCAAAAGAGTTGTGCCAGTGTATACGGAAGTTGAAGTTAGTTAATTATCTTAAACCTCAGTGTTTTTTCATCTTGAGTGATGGCTTGTCTACATCATGCGGCAATGCACACTAGGGGAGTGTGAATTCTAAATCACATCAACATGCTGCACAGTAACTGGCTTATGTAGACCTTGCTGGTGTGCACTAAAAGTTCAGGGTCTACACAGGGCAGTTAGTGCACAATACATCAGTGTGCTTTAGAATTCATGCTCTTCTAGTGTGGATTGCTGTGCCATGTAGACAAGCCCTAAATGTCTAAAGATTAGTGTGAAGAATGGATACATTTGTTGGCATTTGGAATAGCCTTACTCATAAAGATGAAAGAAGATAAATTCTGTATTATGTTAAAGACTTGGATTTGATCTATCTTGGGGTTTTAATCTATGAGAGCCCCTTCAGCATATTTATAGATTTGTCATACAACATTCCTGTGAGATAGGAAAGGAAATCAAGGTCCAGATTTTCCCACCCTCACTCATGTTAAGTAGCATTTTATCTCTTGATTAGTCGCATTGACTTAATTGATGAGTAACCAGATTCTGTGATTCTAAAACCTGGAATTGACTGTCAATTGCTAGAATCTCAGCCCAGTTTCAACCACAAGACCATCCTTCTTCCGTTTAATGGATTAGTAACTCAATTGATCAGGGAATAGATAATAGAACACACACAACCTGTTTGTGTTGGCTGCATGTAGTGATTGATGGCTATTTGTGTCCCCTGTGAAATGTGTTGATGGTTTTCGTTTAGTTCCTAGTCTCCACATGACCAAAAACTGTGCAATAACAAAAGACACTTAACTTTTTGGTCCTGTCTACACAAGACCTCCTTGTCCCCCCCTAAACTGGTCCTGAAAATAGTTTAGCTGCTAGAATAAAATAATTTTCAACATCATTACAAAAAGGGTGTTAGAAACTTGATAGACCATAATGCCAGACATTTGCTGGGTATGGTTTTTCCTGTCTACACATTTTAAGCATCAATTGGGTAGGACCCAATGGAGATCAGTTGCTGACAACACTGTCAGCAAAGAGCCATTGTCCTTGTGTAGATATGGTGAAGAAGACAAAGACTGAATTTGAATGGAGACTGAACTACCCTCTCAGTGCTAGAGGTGGTTCTTCCTAATAAGGTTGAGACCCCTTAGCAGGAAGGCATGGTGAAGCATGATATAATGCTGCCCAGATTATATGTGTTTTGTGGGAAAACATTTTCTCATTTACATTACAAGAATGGTGTAAAAGGGTTTTAGAGTGTAGGGGCCTTAAACTGGATGTAAATGAAGGATTATTTAATCTGCCAGAGTGGTGTGCAGAGGTTTGGTATAAATGAGATTCAGGTCCTCAGACCCAGGCCAATTAGTCTGGCATTTCCATGATCTCCCAAAGTTAATTTAAAGAAAACAATGTGGGTTATTAACTTATGTATTTTTTCCTTAAATATATAACGCTGTGTGTTCTATAGGATGATAGATTTCATCTTTTTCTCTTTCCATTTCCAAAGTCAAGGTGATAACACCATAGGAAGAAAAGCACAACTACAAGAACATTTTCCCTTTTTTTCTCATACATAATATTACTTTCATATGTGTTCTTAAAAAAATAGGTAAGGGGAAGCAAATGTAATTAGAAAGACTTTTTCAATGTGTCATTAAAATTTGGTTTCCTAGCAGCCAAATTGTGGCATGCATTTTTAAACAGGGCTCTTCATTAATAACCAGTGAGGAGTTCTGCTTTAAAAATGGTGGCACAATACGGTTCTTGGGCCTTATTTATTTAAAATGTAAGGTGGACTGATAGAAATATTCTGTCAAAGAGGAGTTTTGTACAGCATACATTTATTAGGGCCAGATTCTCCATTGCCCTCTTCCTTGGATAGCCATTTACATCAGTGCTAAGAGGGTGTAAAATGCTACCAGTTAAGAACGATGCAGCAGATTGGGGAATCTAGCCCTTACTGTTTACCCCAGTACAGAGTAACCATTGAGTACAAATATTGATGAAAATCATCTCAATCTTAATACAGTCGGAATGATGAACAACAGATGATTCCCAGTCTATGTTGAAAAATTGACTGCTTACAACATATTTCACAACTTTTAGTGAATAATGTGCAGGATTAAATTGTGTTTAGAAGAAAGATTATATTGATTACTATTTTAACCATAAGTTTGTAACTTGATAATCATTAATGGAAAAATATAAATAAATTGGGGTGGTTTTATGAGCTTGTAAAACCTCCCAAATATATATTTATTTTCTACAATGTACACATTGAGAATTGTTAAATATGAGCCTGGTTTGTACTACTAATAAGCACCAGCTGTTAGATGGTCACATAAGATTTCTACAAGCCAAAGGAATCCATTGAAAGGTTATTTTTATGCTAAATATTGCTGCCAGACTTTTTATGGCACTTGCCTTAAATCAAGTAGTGTAAAACATCCCACTTTATTAGATTGCATGCCATGATTGGTCAAAAATGTGTGCCTTTTCATATATGTTAGAACCCCAAAGACAATATATCTTTATAGCAGTTTATTTTGTTTAAAAAAAAAAGTGTGTGAGAGAGAAACAGATGAATTTGAAAGGAATTCATATCTATCTTTCGATTGCACACTTTAAACAAAAATAATACAGAGCTTATGATGTACAAATTAGTTTTTAAAATGTTACTTGCAAAATAAAACCCAAAACTATTAATGTTCAGAATGAAATATATATATATGTACCAAGAATGCTAAAACATCTATTTCACATTATCTACAAAATGTATATTCTAATCCAGTCACAAATCATAGGAAAATACTTTGATACATGGAAAAAGCTATAAAACATAAGATGAACATTTTGAAAAAAAAATTACATGTAAAAAGCTCATTAAATAATTACAGTGACAAATAAATAGTTTATTCAGCTTTACTTTTCAATTGCTGCCATGCATATTTTAGTTTTGGGTAGATAGAAGAAAAAGATCAGCATGCAAGGTATTGTTTTGTTAGAATGAAACTGACAACAGTTACTGGTTGCTGCTTTTAAGCAGATGTGTCAAAAGTTCATAAAATATTATTCGGAAGGCAAGAGACATTTGCTAATCAACTGTTCCTGTGAAAATTCACAACAAAGCACCTTTCTAAAAAATAAAATTTCAGTGAATGTTCATGGGGACAATTCTTTGCCTCCACACCTCAAAAAAATGTAAGACTTCATTGTGTGGGGTTGGAAGGCTTGTGGTACTGCCCATCTGGAGCATTTGGAAAATCACCAAAAAGGTCCATATGCACAGAATGCCGTTTTGAGCTTGATCAAAGCAATGCACCATCAAGTGAGAACACAGCAATGGCAGACTTGTCTTTTAAGCAGTCAGATCTGTAAAGAAGATGGTTACAGATGAGTTCAGTTTTGGGGGAAGGGTTGCCTGACTTCTAACTTGAGCTGTGCTTGCTGGATTTACTGGCTCTTTTTCTCTCTTTGTGATGCTGGGTGGACTTTGCCTGAGAGGTTCCCTCAAAATTATGGCTGGACTCGTTGTGCTGCCTGGTGTACCTCTTGCATTTGCAGGCCGTGACCACAGTTATTTTGTAGGTTCTTGTACTTCCGTCTTGACACTGGAGCTGGATCCTCTGTGTGCGCGTTTTGTCATTGACACATCTCCACTCTTGGGAGCTCCTTCTGCTCCAGTACTTGGTTCCATAACCTCCTCCAATCCAGTTGGGGAGCACTGGCAAAGGAAGGCACTCACCAGCACACACAAGCTCTTTCAGAGGATTTATACTGGTACACTGCCCATCTGAAATGTACTTGGTGGATCTCAGTTCCCGGCAGCCAACTTGAACGCGATCTGCAGAACGCACAGAATAATGAACATTGAGACTCATAAAGAAAAGATTTCCTAAGCCAACCTTCAAACTCCAACTCATTTTCAAATGATCACAGCATGCATAGCAATTGATGACAGAGGCTTAGACTATATAAGCTTTTGGGGATGATCTTGTAATTATATATGTATAAAGTGCCTAACACAATAGGACCTTGATCCATGATGGGGGGCCTCTAGGTGCTATCACAATACAAATAATGATATTTATGTCATAGCACTGCAGGAGCTATATAGTCGCAGTAGAGGGGGCAATTTTATTCTAAACCCCCTTGGTCAGATGCATGGAGAAAAAAAATGCCCTGGGGCTGAAATGTCTCTTGCTTGTTCTTAGAAGGAATTTGCTCTCTGATGTTTGGTAAAACTCTGTTTGACCGTTAGTGTGAAAAATAGTGTTTTTAGGATTTTAGAAAGTATTCTAATGCATTTGAATAAAGAATTGTTTTATTTTAAAACTTCATATTTGTTATGGATTTAGTCTCCAGTGAAGGCTAGTGTTCTGAAGAAAAACTGTTTTATAAATAATAAAAGTTGTAAGTCTTTGAAAATTGTGTTTTGCACGTGATGTTCAATTTTTTAACCATGTACACTGGTCATTTTGCCTTAAGGATAACATATGAATATGTGCTTTATTCCTTATACAGTACTTCTTATACCTAATAGAGGTAATACTGCAAATCCTGAGGCAACTTTTTAGTTCTCTAGGTAAGCTAACATGGCATAAAGGTGAGAGCTGCAAATATAGGCATGTTTGTACCTGCTATTATGTGCAGCTCTGCTCACTGCAATAAACACAACTGTTTAGTTCAGTAATTACACTGAGACATGAAGGTAATATAATATGCAATCCTTCACTGGCTGTTCTCTTCCTCTTTCTCAAGGAAATGTACAGTGGAGATTGTACACATATTATACAAGAGGGCGCGCTCACAATTGATGCTTTTAAAAATAGAAATACCTTAGAGTACAAATAAAAGGGTTTGAAGGTACCTCACCTCATTAGTTACAAGATGCTTCTGTTTTGGTTTGGTTTTTGAATCAAACTCTAATCAGAGACATTGAGTTAAGACAACAATTTCTCCTTGTCCCTTTCCCCACTGCTTGCAAGGTGCACAGTCAGGGGGATTAGGAATTTGAAGACTGTTCTGGATAGATGATTTACAAAAGGACTGGTTTCTAGACTGCTTGACTCGCCTGAATGATTCAAGCTCGCCTTCTTCCCTGCAGCTGCGCTCAGGAATGTACCTGGAAGCAGCTGATCACAGCTTTGATTTGTCTTGCCTTCTGTTTTTATGTATATACAGGTTCAGCTTTTCTGTAGTGACAGTTCATTGACAATGAATACCTCCTGGGCTGCTCCAGTAATCTCATAATGACGAGACATTTCCTGTGCAGTTAAACCACCCATATTCATAAAAGCTGACACATCTTGCCTTTGCTGAACGATATTGCTATCAGTTTTTGCCTTTGCTTTCCATCAATGACGCTGTTCTTACTGAATGAATTTGGGTCGGTTTTTCATTTTAACTTAATGAAGTGGGGATGGGAGGGAACGGATCAAGCCAGAAACCACATCCGCAGAGTATCTCTCGGACCCTTTATACATATAATTCAGCAGGGAGGAGAAAATCTCATAACATTAAAAAAAAAAAGTAAGTTGGAGCAGAGATCACAGGTAGGTTGTGAACCTGTTTGTTTACTTTTGCTAGAGGCGTTAAGCAGGTAAGTGCTAAACCAGGAAGTGAAAAACAAAAATCTGGAACAAAATCAAAAGCTTTTTGTCTGGAAGAGTTACATTTCTGAAGCAGCCCAGACAGGATGCTGTACCTACACACTACTACACTGAAAGGCAGAGTCTGTGAGCTAAGAAAGTGAGCACATTTAAAATGTCATTTCCCCCATTTTCTTTACCTTCCTCCTCTTTTCTACTGCAGCAGCATCAAAAACTGAGTTCCCAGTTTAAATGACTGAATCTGAGATACAGTTAATCACGTGATGCCCCATACAAGTTGAGGGTGAAGTTGGTCGGTGTGTGTCCAGAGGGAGTAAAGAACTAACAGAACATATTTTCCTTCCTTAGATTTAAGTTTAGATTTTATTTTCCTTGACGTATCACCAGGGTGATGGAAGGAACCTGCAGGGATAAAGCGTGTTCAGGCAAAGCCAGAATGCCATGCTGAGTGTGTACTCTGGGTAGTAACAAATCCAGCAGGTTTTTGTTAAATTACCCCTCTCAAGGATCACTGCCTAGGAAAATGTGCTCATTGACAAATGCATGATTCTTCCTGAAAAATGGACATGGGTGCCAAAAGAAAAGTAGGGTTACATCGATTAGGCATAAACCCACCCTGCAATAAGTGAAGCAAGGGATGGGAGACGCTAAAAGTTAAACACTTACTGTTACGATCTAATCCAGTGTTGCCGTAATGCCTGCCTCCGTTTCTGGCTTGGTTCAGCGTGCTGTTGCTGCTAGGGCTCGCTGGAACAGGTTTGACCACATGTGTATAAAGGATCTCTGTGGCATCATTCTTGAAAGCCAAACAGCTTTTCATGAAGACGCAAGCTAGGAGAAAGCCGGAGAAGTGAATGGCAGGGAGGAGAATCATGGTTGGTTCGGTTTCTGTCTGACCGCGCTGGGTGAATTCCTTTTCTTCAGCTTCTTCCCTGTAACTCTGAAATGCCTCTTGAAGGTTTCCCTTATATATCCACAGAGGCTTGGCACTCATGCAGGTGTAAAGTTGTGGATTGATTCAGAATGAAAACATAGAGAAGGGGTGGGATCCTTACATGAGCCCTCAAAGACATTTTACCAATCGAAAAGAAGACTGCAGTAAAGGAGGAGTCTGCTTACACTAATTGCAGGATTCCTAGTTGGGGCTTTGAGGGTGTCAGGAAACTGTGAACTGTATGGTAGCAGGCAGACTGAGGTAGAGACTGCAGGCTCTGTTCAGCCATTCCAAGTCCCCTGCATATCTGGGATTTTTGTGTGATGCGATTGAAACAAAGTGTAACTGGGTGTCTGTCTTTTTCCTCTTATACACAGTTGCTATTCCCTCTCCTACAATGTGCCTTTGGGAGAACTGGCCAGCTATGTAAAGAATGAAAATATTATAGAAAATATACAAGTTACACACATTTTAGCTATTAAGAATAAGTCTTTTCAAAAAATATACTGTGGGAAATGTAAAGTTCCCTCCAGATAGATTTAAATAATGCAGCCTTTATCAACATGGATCATTGCTAGAGAAACTGCTTGTGTTAGGGGAGTATTGGCTTCTCCGTGTGCAGAGAGTTACAAGAATATAGTTCTGTGTCACCCCGGGTAATAAGAAGTTCCTCCAGGCTTCTCAGTACAATCATCCATATTCACAGATCTGCATTATACTCATTCACCAGACTCACCTCATTTTGTTTAGTAGACTGGCTAAAAGAGTAAAACATTTTTTTAAATGTAAATATATTTTTCATATAATATTAAATTATTACACAGAGGAAAGAATAATCCTTATTTTGACACATAACATTTTGCTTGCATCTTATACTTACTCATTTTCCATAAAATCCTGAACATAAAGCTATGGCCCAAACTCAACTGCTTGTATAAACTGGGGTAATTCCAATGAAACCAATTCCTGTTTACATCAGTGGTGAATTTGGCATTCATTACAAATAAAACTAGAGTTACTGATATTTAAAACCTACAATATTTTACTAGCAAACTTTTTTGAGGGGGAAATAACACAACATCCCCACAGGAAGTCAGATGACACAAAGGGTAACACATTAGTGGTCAGATTCTTAACTCACACTCAGGAGCGGATTTACCATGAATCACACCATGAGGTGCACGGGGCCCCCAACGACAGGGGGACCCCCAAAATGCAGGACAAATCTCATCTGACAACCCGCCCCGGAGTCCCGGCTGGCGGCGCAGCAGGGCTCAGGCAGGCAGGCTGTCTGCATGCTGTGGCCCGTGGCCCCATGCTGCTCCCAGAAGTGGCCGGCTCCCGGCAAGTCTCTGTGTACCCCCTGCTGGGGGAGGTGGCTCTGCCCTGGGCAGCACATGGAGATCCGCTGCCTCCCTCCCCCCAAGGGGCACACAGAGAGGTGCCAGCAGCAGGGCTAAGGCAGCTCCCTGCCTGCTCTGCCTTCCTCCCTCTGCTCCACTCCTGAAAGTGGCTGGCATGTCCCTGTGGCCCCTGGGGTGTGGGTGTGTCTCTGCGTGCTGCCCCCACCCCAAGCGCAGGGGCAGTGCCTGCGGGCAGTGGAGCGCAGAGACCCCTCTGTCCCCCTCACCTAGGAGTCGCTGCCAGAGAAGTGTGTGCCACCCGAGGTAAGCACCATACCCCTACCCCCCTCCCACACCCCAACCCCCTGCCCCAGCTCAGAGCCTGCACTCAGCACCTAAACTTCCTCCCAGAGCCCCACCCCTGCACCTCTTCCTGCACCCCTATTCCCTGCCCCAATCAAGGTACCTCACTTTATTTTCATTTACTTCCCATTACTTATAATATAGGGGGAGGATGAAGAAAAAAGGAATGAAAAACGGTGTGTGTGTTTTGGGGGGAGATAAGAGAGAATGTTCTTTTTCTTGTCTGGGTCCTGGGGGTTGGGTGGGGGAGGGCAAAAATGAAGCTGCACACAGGGCCCCACTAACTCAAAATCCACCACTGCTCATACTACTGTAATTCAATTGAAATCAATAAAGTTACTCTAGACTGACACTGCTGTAGTGAGAGCAGAACCAGGCTCAAAGAATTACCTTTAAAAACCTGGGTTAAAACCAAAGTAACTCACAAAGAAAACAAGTTCATCTCATCCTAATCCCCAATGGACATTTGTCTACATCTCCCAGACCTTGGTCCTGCACCACTGAAATCAATGGGGACTTTACCATTGACTTCAATAACAGGAGCAGGTCCAAAATCACCACTCAGCTGACAGGCTATGCCTGAGAGACAGAGGAATAACTGGAGTGTTGCAAGGCAGAAGTGAGGTGTATTGGCAGAGCTGTGTGCAGGGAAGCTTGATTAATATCTGCTTGTATTATGACGAGACCCACCCAATTCTGGAATAACAGGAATGTTGTAAGATCTACTAGCAGACCTATGTGTGGAGAAGCTTGGGTAGTACTTGGCTCTATTATGACCTACCCCAATCAAGGTTATCAGTTTCTTGTTTTAATGAACATTAAATTCATCCACAAAAATACAGACATTATTAAATCACCTTCCTTTATAAAAACCAGTTATAAAGTAAAGGTTCCTTTAAGGTATTCAAGAAAGTATGTACATTATGAAATTAGTAATATTAGTAAAGGATTTTTCTGTAATTGTGGCAAACCAAATATATGCTTTTTTGTGTTTTATAAATTTTATCTTAATTTTTCTCCCCAACTGCAGATTATACAGAGCCTCACACACTTTTCCCATAATATATTTTCTGGATTGGTATGGCCCAAACATCACAATACAAATTTTAAAAAGTACTGTGTCTATTGTGCAGTTATCCCTGGTATCGAGGATAGTGTACCGCTTTTTAGAAGGAAGTTGGGTTGGGTAGGGAACTGTTTTCTCTGATAAAGACCCCTTTTTGTAAGAGGAATGCTGGGAATTAAGAGAAAAAGACTTTTGAAGTACCGGGCTATCTTGATTATCACTTCAAAAGTTTTTTTTTCTCTTAATTAATTGGCCTCTCAGAGTTGGTAAGCTGCCTCCCACCTGTTTATGCTCACTGTATGTTTGCTCTTATCCCTCCCCAATATATGTTCCATTCTATATGCATCCGAAGAAGTGGGCTGTAGGCCACGAAAGCTTATGCGCTAACAAATTTGTTAG